ATACACTTTTTTTTTTTTTTAATTATTACAATCGAATGTCTACCTTAGATTAATGTTTGTTTTTTTGTTTTTAATTACGTAATAATAGTATTTTAGTTATTGTGTCATTTGCATGTAATAATTAACAAAGGTTTCGTTTGGAAATTTCATTTAGTTGGAGTTTCGTTAAGCTAATTTTTCATTTGATTTTTCTTTTTTAAATTCGTTTATTCTTTTTTATATTTTTTCTTATTAAAATATTGTCAATTAAGTTTTTTCTATTTGACAAAAATAATTATTAATATTTGTTAACAATTGTATTAAAAACATTTAAATAGTTTTATAAATTCTAACCCTAACTTGTTACAAAATTAATATAGAAAAATACTCTAAGTAAAGGGGGGTTAAAGTTGTATTTAGTGTTGAAGAACAATATTATTTAAAATCATCACCTTTTTGCTACCTAATGTTATTTTATAATAAGCTGAATGTTTTATTTAAAATCTGTCGATTTATTTTTCTTCTTGATTGATTTGATATCCCATGCTTTTGTTGTATAGCTAAATTCTGAAAGAGTTATTTAATAAAATTAAATATCATTTTAAATTAATTGAATACATTTGAAAAATTTATAATACAATTGTCAATTTTACTTAAAGTTATAACTTAAAAAAAGAAAAAAGAATTCGATTAAATGTTTTAATTCTTACCATTGATTGGAAATCCTTTTTATATTTTGTCGACTCCATAATAAAAAAAAGCTAATTTGTCGATGATTAAATTGTGAAAATGTTAGTTAATGTTAGATTGTCAATATGTTAATAAGTGAATTATTTTCGACAACATTGATATAAAATATTCTTCTCCATTTAATACAAGTTGTTATCCCCAAACCGAGTGTGTATTAAGTGCATGTTAATTATTAATTATTGTTTCGATGTAGTTATTTAGCTGTTGGCTTAATCATATATAGTGCAAAAAAAAAGATTCATATCATTCTTAGAATTTATTTTATTTAACATATAGTGACAATCATATACATGTATATGATTATTTATATATATTACACTCACAAATAAATTATATTTGTTATTATTATTATTAAAACAAAGTTAACAGACTATGAAAACACAACATTTGATATTCAACAATTTCATATTTCTGTTAGCTACATTCGTTAAAAAAAAAAAAAAATAACAAACACTTAAAATTAAAATAATATGATATTTGAGCCATTCGATTAATTATTCAATCATTTCAAAAAAAAATTAAAAATAACTAAATTATTTTTTTTGCTTATAAGAATGGCACAATGTTATATACTTTTATACAGATTATATATATTTAATAAAATATTTTCATTCCTAACAATAATATTAATAATCATTCATAAACTTAATGTAACAAATGTTAACTCGATGATTCTTAAATTTTTTTTCTTAAATAAGCATAACTTTGAAAAATCTAAGTTTTAATAATATTATATAAATTTAAAAATTGTTTAACAACTTATATAAATATATAAT